GGCGGGGTCACTTATAAGTACCCTCGAGCGGAGGGAAAGCAAATTGTGTTATTTAAACAGGTACCGTCAAAGACCCCATACACGCCTTTATTGCGCGTGTTGGGAAGAAAAATCACGGCCGTGGTGTCCTCGTCATAGGACACCTACCATACACACCTTTATTGCGCGTGGTGGGAAAGGCCCAGTTTTCTCGTAGTTTTCCCTTGAAAGGGGGAGACGCCGGGAGGTTGCCGAAATTTCGGGTGAAATCGTACATGGACCTGTTGAACTCAAAAGAACAAAAATCAAATCCAAATGAAAATGAGCATTGAACTTGAACAAGATTCAGACTGCAGGGGGGCTCGGACGGGTAGAAGAGACTCATTTTGAGTCTGAACTGTACTTTGACCAATACTTGAACGAATGCAAATAAAAGACTCTAACTAAAATGATAAGAGACTAGACTTTCAAGACTACTAGAATTTGAAACTCAACCATGTCTTGAATATGAAATCAAACTCAAGCAAATGACATCAAGTTGAACCAAAGACTTGAACTCTGAGTTCGCACTTGAACTCGTGCTATACAACATTAAGTGGGACTTGTAGACTTGATGAATTCAAGTTTGAATCATGTGCAAGGAAACTCAAACTACAAGAGCATTCGTACGATCAATAGTGATTCAAAATGCGTTACAAGACCTTGATGCACAAACTCCTACGGCAACCCCTGTAGATGCCTATTGATTGAGATGACAATACGGGAGACCAATAAAGAAGGATTCACCCCCACAAACAAGTTCAAATACATCAATACCACCCAAGATTGGTGAAAGGGTAGATTCGATGTAGAAACAATGGAGCTTCTACAAAATACTTCCAGGAGGTCGTCGTAGAAGACATGTATCCCCTGCAAATAAAGAGGTCAATGAATGAATGAAGGTCATTCATTAAAATCCCAAATAGAAGTGAAATGTCGGTTCACTCACAAGCAACAATACGAACTCCTACAAGTCACTATAGAAGATTTGCAATCCATATAAATCATCTACGAATACGAATGTATGCACAACATCCATCCATGGGTAGATGCATAAAGACTACAGTAAATGCAGTATCCTATAGTCAACTTCAGTCTAAGGATGAATATCTATCTCCAACAATAATGGTTGTGTTACAAAGACCAAAATCACAGCATAATGCATAAAGACTATAAGTTCCTACTAGCTTCTACAACCCAAAGCTGGAGATTAGTTAGTTCACTACGATCCACCTGCAGAAAGCAACGAGTAGTGCACGACAGTCTACCTGTACGAAGCAGCGAACAATTCTATCCAGAAGCTGCTACGTCACGCCACTGGATCCGCAACACTCGTACTAGTGGACAGAAGACGTGTATAAGCTCTTAAATGAAAAGTTGTGTGCATCCAAACGATAGTTATATGCACAACTACAATTATTTCAAGGTATCCCCTGCACGTGCACAGTAATCTGTATACACATAGGTACACTAAATGGGAAAATACAATCCCAAACCCGCATGGGCTCCGACGAGCGTGTTATTGGTACACACGTGACGTCTAAGGATGCTGTGCGGGTTATTAAATTTGAACCTGATCCTCCTATGCAGATAAAAGGAGTTGACAGGGTTCAATTATAAATGCCCCCAAACACCCGCATGGGCCCCGGCGAGCATGTTATTGGTACACACGTGACGTCTAGGGAAGCTGCGCGGGTCAATAAGTGAGTTCAAGTTCGAATATGATCCTTCTATACGGGTCAATAGAAGTCGACAGGGTTCGAACCATCAAATAAATATGTGGCCGTGACGACCATAATATTTGTTTCAATGCATTCATATTAGTCCTTCAAGGTCTACAATCAAAAGAATTCACTAGTAAAGGCTCAAAGCTTACGAAACCCGACCCTCTGTCGACAATTGATAGAGTCGACAAGGTTCAATCAAATGGAAATAACCCCAAACACCCTGATGATGGCCGTGTTGAATGCAAATCTCAACCGGAGGTGTCCATTCCAAATATTTTTGAAATGCCGTTCCAAATATCCAAAAATCTAAAAAAAAATCTTAAAATCCAAAAAATATTTAAAAATTGAAATCCAACTATCAAACACTTAAAGCAAAATCCATCCACCCTCCGCAACAGTTTGCCGGGGTGGATAAATCAAAATTTATCTCAGCTCACAAAAGAGCTAAATGTCTAGTCGAAAATATCACTAGGATCCATCCATGTTGTTTAGTGGCTGTTTCATTTCTGGACGATGTTTGTGTATTGATATTAAAGTCTTCAATGAAATTATTTATGTTTAATTATACTCTTCTGCACGACCGACTGTTCCCGCCCCGTTTTTATCGGGCTAGCCGGGCCGTGTTCGTGACATGAAATGACATTCATAGTGGATCATAAACTGTCGTTGATAACTAAACCATAGGCTAGGATCGTCATTTGCTTTTTAATCAAATGTCAATGTGTATGTCTTCAAATGTTGCAAGTTGTATTTTCCTCTCCTACACGAATACTGACAAAATTGACTTAGGGTATTAAGCTTGCATTTCTTAGAATTGTTATTCGCCTAAGACTTGCCAAGTGTGTAAATATGCTCATTCAATTTCAAATGTTTGTTAAACTACTATGGAATATATTATAGATTCTTAAAGGCCTGAAGGTTATACTCCATCTCATTTTGAAATTCTTTAAGCTTATTTAAATAATATTCTAAATTAAATGGAGGACATGAGAGGATTCTTAAACTTGCAATTCATTCAAGTTGTATGCATTTTTCTTTCAAAATATAGATCATGACAAAATGATTTTCAAGAATATGAATTTGCATATGTTAAAAAGTTTATGATTTTTTCTTGAATTTTGTAAATGCTTGAGAATGAATTTAATCCATTGAGAAAATCCCAAACTATTATTAGACTTCTCATTGACCTCCTAAGGTCTATGTTTTAAATCCCACAAATGGCATGATTGATTAATTTCATCTCCAACACTTTGCAAAGTTGAAAAGAAAATGCTCTAGATCTTTAAAATGCAAATCACATTCACACATGTATACTATATATGAATGAAATGGCTAGATATATATGTGTGTTTGCGCATGTTGAATGATGGAGCACACCTCCTTATGATACTAGTTGGGGATGCAATATACCTGTGCACGTAAATGGAAAAGGTTATTGAGATGGAAAACGTAAAAGAAATGAAAGATGAGTACCTTCATTGTTACTATTTAAGACGGTGGCTCATGTGACGGTTATATTATATACGAGAAAGGATAAATATATGATATATGTATAACATTGATGGTCATGTTTGACATGAATTTAAATAAAATTATTTTATGTTTAGAAATAAGCATGTGTATTATTTCAAAGGCCTTGCATTACTGTAATTTAGAAGCATGCTTTTCTCACTAAGTTCTAACTCACTTTTGTTTCCAATAACATTCACAATTTGATTCTTTCTTTTATAATATTAAAGTTTGTTTTGTCTAATTAGTCTAATTTTTGTGAGTTATTGTAATCTTTTATTCTCTAGAAGAGTTTCTTTTTTGTGATCAAAAATTTGGGTCCCTCTCCCAAATTTTTGATTGCATCACAAATATTATTTGATTAACTTAAAATGAGTAGAAGATATAAGAATGTATATCGTAGGAAGATATTTATATCATTTTTATTTTAACTGTTTCAAAATTAATTATGTGGTGGGTTCTTAGGACAAAATTAAATTTTTTACCAATTAACATGTAAGCAATCTAAAATTAATTATAGGATAATTAATTTTTTAAATAAAAGAAAATTTGCATGGCTCACTCTAATGAGCCAAGTTTTCGAAACAAAATTATCATGCATGACTAGTAGGTCTCCTATGAAAAGCCCTTATATTAAGGAGAAGATAATAAAAATTTGTAGGCAATAAGTTAGCATTTGCATACCAGCATGGTCAGATATCTTAGCCTAAAAGCTACGTTGTAAGCTCTATTCTCTAAATCAAAACAACCTTTCGTACTCTTTATGCGCATTGAGTCCGGACCTCATGGTTTTAAAAGCGTTTAGATTGGTTAGCTAGCGGCCCTTTCCAAGTAAGGTTGTAGGTTCATAGGTCGGGTTGGCTTATGTCTCATGTGAGATGTAGGTTTACAAGTCTTTTACATTCTATTAGTCATAGGTTTGAGGTACTACTCTTTTATAGTCTTCTCTTTAGATCTATGATCCGAAGCTGAGGTTGACTCTAGTCACATATTAAGCCCCCACATTTCGGAGATTTTTTTAACCTATGTTATTGGAATATAAGTCCTAACTTTTTAAATCAAATTGGTCACCTTGAATACAAATTTAATTTTGAAATGTAAAGTCCAACATAGGATAGTTTAAGCACCGCCGAGTTTCTCAAAATCAAATGCTCCTACATTTTCCCTCATTTGGCACCTCCGAGTTTCTCAGAATCAAATGCTCCTACATTTTCCCTCATTTGGCTTCCATTCCTTAAATCCTATTTAAAGTTGATCATATCTCCTTTAAGATTCCCTTAACATTCCCTTAAGACGATCCTTCCACACCACCATCATTTTGGCTCCTATTATTTTCTGCAGCAAGTTACTGTTTCCAATTTTGGTCCAACATTGTTGACAACTTTAGCCATGTCAGCATGACAGATCTTATAATTTTTAAATAAGATTCTCTATTTGCTATTTCATGCCACAATTCTTTGGTTATATAGGTGTTGAATCTTTTAGAAATGATACACCCAATTAAATTTTTGGCACTAAATATGATAGAATTCATTTACTCAATTTTTCCTGTAAAAGCTGCTCTACTTTTGCATGAGATCTCTGTGTTTCCAGGATGCTTTATTTTTTCGTCCATATTTGACTTCATGAAAAACATTTGATGATGGATGAGTTATTTTGTTTTTTAACTACTAAGTTTACTAAGATTTTATTGTGGGCTAATTATGACTATTATTCCTAATGCTTTTAGTGGTTATAAATTTTCAGGTGAATGTATTAATACCTAAAATATATGGGCTACAAGATGCATTGCCGAAATCTATTGGACTACTTCCGTTTGATGGTGGTGTGGCAGGTAAGAAGGGAGTGCCTTGCATTCAAGTTTGTGCAACTTAAGTTTATTTTCTTTATTTTTTCTTCATGATTGCATAGTTATGCGTGGTACAAAACCCTACAATTTGATTTTTTAATCTCAATAATACCCTCGCTCTAGCTATATTGTAACTGTAGTGGATCAAGTGTTGATTCCCTATGAAAACCTCCCAACTTTTTTCGGTTCTTATTTTTTGTCATGTGCTGATGATGATATTTTCCAAATTGCCATTTGATTGAGGTTCGGCATGCGTTGTCTTATGTAGTGCGAAATACATGTAAACATGTATTGGTAGAGACATAAATATCTTATGCTCATGTCAATGTGGCTAGTAGTTTACCTACTTTTCAATTGTATTTATTTGTTCTTCAAATTGACTTTCTGAGTTCTAATGTTACTAATTTGGAATTTGCCAAGAAGTTACATCAGCAAACTAAATGATCACTCTCTAAAATATGCACACAAAGTTTAATTAGAACTTGGAGTTTTTAAGATAAATGATAGTGCTCGTTTGAAGTCTTGGCACTTCACGTTTTTATTTGGCTGTGTTTTAGGGTCTCATTACACGGTGATACATATGTTGACATTCATATAGGTATGCCTTCGTTCATTGAGGAGCTGATGTGGAAGATTGATGTGAATTCTTTCCCCGTTTCCATAACTTGTTGGTTTACTGTCCAGGGATTCATTTTGCTTGCGGCTGGTTTGAAACTGTGAAATCTACCTTCTAATTCTGTGTACTGTAGAAGGGGTTTACTTTTTTTTTTTTTTCATTTCCTTTACTGTTGCTGTTGCACTTACGAAGGCTACAGAGGAGAGGCTCGTTGATCATTGCTACTGTAGCAAGATTAAGTTATTATTTTTATGCAATTTCTGGCAATAGAGGAGGATCCAGGAATTGCTTAATTGTGGATATCGCTATGTTGCTACGGGAATCTTTGAAATCATTTCTTACTATAATTAATTTCAGGATTCTATCAGGTGTTAGATTTTGACTTTTTGTGATTATCAGGATAGTCTGGCATGTAAACATGCCTTATATTGCTGAATAAAATTTTAAAATATTGTCTTATATTTATGTATTAGTTGGATGTGAATTCTTCTGCGGTGCAAGTGTTGATTGCAACTTTTGGGGGATATGATATCTTTCCTTGTTCTTCTTCATTTGCACAATTAATGATTGGTTTGCATGGGTGATTGGGGTTTGGTTAAATCTACTACAAATTTGGTTTCCTTATTGCATTGTGAGTCTTGATTTTTATTGGTTTATAATTTCTTACTGCATTGTGTGTTGATTGTTGTTTGGTTCTTGATTTTCTTGACTTTATTTTTGGTTCTTGATTTTTTTATTCTCATGTTCGTATAAAGAAATTTAGGGATAAAATAAAATGTGATAATATTGATAAAGATGAATGCTTTTAAAGAAAATTTAACTTCAAATTTTTTTCTAGTTCAAATTTACTATTTAGCTATTTAGGTCTGTTTTCTTTAATTAGGTCATCTATCCATATAAGAATATGATATTTAATTTGTTTGCTCTTAGATTGCTTTGTCATCCTGTCCTATAAGAATAAGGTTTAGATTATCATTAGTATCACTTATAATATTAGTATTTAAGTATTTTCTTTAATTTTGTTACTTTATTTTTGTCATTTGTCAGGCTTGTATGAAGCTATACGTAAAATATTGACTCTAAAATTTGATAATCATAATCCATTGTTGATGTGAACATTAGGTTTATGATATTTAGATCATGTGCTATGTTAATTATTGCATTTAAATTTTGAAAGGTTTTCTTGTTAGAATCATTATGCAATTAACTAAGGCAAGGAAAAAATCATGAAGAACATTGGAAATTACAGGAAGTTCTAATATCTGTTCAATCAACCTTTTTGTTTTGATTTTATTTATTGAATGTATTTTTAAAGCCTTGTATCTTTATCTTTCTACCTTGTGAATTAATTAGTTTATCTCACAATGCTACACTGTTTGTTTTAGTATTTTTTTTTTCAAATGATGTGATTGCGTCCACTATTAGTAGTGGATATTAGATTTATTTTGTGCATTGGTGTAGAATACCTTTTTGTAATTATTCATGGATTTCTTCATAGGAAGTGCAAAAATTATGGCCAAAGCTGTTAATCAAATATCAACTGAACAATTTATCGAGGCTGAATTTCTTCAAGGAGTACATATTGATGTGAAATTCCCCCCTTTCATAACTTCTTGCTTGTTAAATGTAGTTGAGTCTCAGGATTCACGTGTTTTGTGGTTGATTTGGAATAATATAATCCACCTTTTGATTCTTTGTAAGATAACAAAGATACAAGATTCAATTAGTTATGGTTATTCCGCAATAACAATTAGTTGGAACTTGCAAATGATTGGTACTATAGCAAGATTTATTATTATTGTCTTGTGGTTTCTGGCGTTCTAATAGGATTCTAGAATTGCGTACTTGTGTGTTTGGCTCTGTAACTGATTATTAATAGGATTAATATCAGTGATTAAGGGAGTTTTTTTAAATAGCTGTCCGGACGTATCTCTACATCTGGAAATCCCTGTTGCTTATATGTTCATGTTAGATCTTTTGCCTTTTTTTTTTTCATCATGTACATCTATTTAATATTTATGTTAAGTATGTTACAAATCTGAAACCATGGTACTTTATTCTATCCTTGCTATGTTTCTTTAAATGGGTTCCCTGGATAAAAAATTCTTTGTTTTATTCTTGTATCCAGGTTCCCAAAAGATTATTCATGAACTGTTGACCTGGGGAACTAAATCTGAACTTAAATTTGAAGTGCTTCAAAGTTTGAAAGAGGTTGGAAGTGCACTCTATTGGATGAGCCTTCTTGATCTTGTACTGGTAATGCGCATGAAATTATTCATTTGGCCTTTTTTTATTGCCTTTGATTTTCTTAATTCACATTTTTGGAATAACCATAGAATTTTGTCATTCATTGGTAGCTTTATGTTGAAATACAACAACATCAAGCCTTTGATTTCCCATACAAATTCTAGCTTTACCAAGTATTTTTAGGTCCACCTCTATCTTTCTTAACATAAGTCAAATCTAATACCTCTACTCTCCTAACCGGGTCATCAGAAGGCCGTCGTTTTATGTGACCAAACCACCTAAGGCGACTCTCTAATCATATCTTCTATTGGAGCTACTCTAATCTTTTCACGTATATGCTCATTTCATATCCTATCTCTAATTGTAAAGCCACTCATCCACCTGAGCATCCTCATCTCTGCTACACTTAACTTAGTATTATGCTTCTGTTTTAATGGCCAACATTCGGCACCATAAAGCATTGCAGACCTCACTACCATCTTTTACAATTTTCCCTTAAGTTTGAGGGATACTTTTCTATCACATAACAAGCCCGATGCATTCCTCCACTTCAACCATCCAACTTGAATTCTGTTGATAATATCCCCATCTATCCAAGATATCTAAAACGTGTACTCTTATTAATGACTTAATCACCCAACATCACAATCCTATCACTAGGTCTATTACTACTAAAATTACACTCCATATATTTCTTTTTAGGTCTACTCAAACGAAAACCTTTAGACTCTAAGGTTGACTCCATAATTCAAGTTTACCTTCAACTCCCTCTCTAGTCTTATCAACAAGAAGAATATCATCAGCAAAAAGCATACACCAAGGTACATCCACTTGCAAATGTCTAGTGAGAACATCCATGACTAAAGCAAAAAGATATGAGCTTAAGGCTGATCCTTGATGTAACCCAACTGAAATAGAGAAACACTTGGTCAAACCACCTTATGTTTGAACACAAATAATAACTCCTGCATACATATCTTTTATGATTTGAATATAAGCATTATTAACTCTTTTTTTTTTCAAGAACTCTTCATAGCATTTCTCTTGGTTATTTTCACAATCTTCATTAAAGCTTTATGTTGAAATAATTAATAGAAATTTTTTTGTAGGTATAATCTCTGCAAAATAATTAATGCATAATTCTAGAATATGAAATGTGTTGACGAATATTTTCGCATCGATTCGATCCCGATCGAGCCCGACTAGACTCGATTGCGCTCGATCAACTCAATTGATCGTTGTCGAGGTTAAATTGACTCAAATTAAGCCTCGTTTTAATTAAATTAAACCCAATTTAATTTAATTAAAATTAAATCAAATCAAATCAAACCCAATCGAACCTCGTCGAGTGTCGTCGAATCCAATTCGACGCTATTCGACATCGATCGGAGTTCAATTTCGCAAAATTGACTCAATCGAACAAAATCGGACCCAAATCGACTCAAATCGATTCGGGTCGAGCCCAATTCGGAGCCAATTTCAGCCCCAATTGATTGATTTGGGCTCAATTAACTCCCCAAATCAAAATTTTGAACCTAGGGCTGAGATTTTCTCTCAAATCTCACCCAAATTTGGGTTCAATGTACTCAAGTACATTCTCCTCGTTTCAAGTAACGAGAGAGCCTCATAGGCTCATTTGGGCGGTCCCTTGGGCTGTCCGTCCAAAGCCAGAGCGAAACAAGAGCGGGAGAGGGAGTGGGGAGCGGCATTCGGCTCCCCCTTGGTTTTCTTTCTTCCGCCCCGACACACACAGAGAGAACGAGCGAGAGAGAACGGGAGCAGGAGTACCAGGCGAAGCTCCCATTTGCGCCAGAGCCCTCGTTCGCGCGATTTCCAGCCCGTTCGCGCGATTTCCAACCCGTTCGCGCCTCCTCTCGTGCGGATCTCCCCTCCGACCCCGCCTGGGCCTTCGGCCGAGCTTCCTAAGGCTCGGTCTCTTCCCGTTTGCCACATCTTTTGAAGCTGTCGGCCTCCAGTTTCGCTCCAAAGCCTCCGACTTCCTCTAAGTTTGGGCCGGTGCGACACTTCTTACGGAAGAACACTTCTACTCTCTTCCTTCTTCGTCTCCGGCGACCTCGAGGC